CTACTGTTTCTGTCTGATTTTCACAAAACTTGGACAGGTTGGATTTGATGGTTTTGATGATTTGTATAGAAATGGCCATTGCCACTCGCCAAGCAGGCCATGCTTATTCCTTTCTGTAAATATGAATATACAGTGAGGTTTGACTAAGGACCAGTAAGTTAACAAGATCTTCAAGAACCCGAGTTGTTATTCTTGAAAAAATAGTCTTGACTTTTGTATTTTCATAAAGATCTATCACACCGAGATTATTGTTTCTGTTTGATTTTCACAAAACTTGGACAGGTTGGATTTGGTGGTTTTGATGATTTGTATAGAAATGGCCATTGCTACTCGCCAAGCAGGCCATGCTTATTCCTTTCTGTAAATATGTATATACAGTGAGGTTTGACTAAGGACCAGTAAGTTAACATGATCTTCAAGAACCCGAGTTGTAACTCTTGAAAATAATAGTCTTGACTTTTGTATTTTCACAAGGATCTATCACACCGAGACTACAGTTTCTGTCTGATTTTCACAAAACTTGGACAGGTTGGATTTGATGGTATTGATGATTTGTATAGAAGTAGCCATTGCCACTCGCCAAGCTTATTCCTTTCTGTAAATATGAATATACAGTGAGGTTTGACTAAGTACCAGTAAGTTGACAAGATTTTCAAGAACCTGAATTGTTACTCTTGAAAATATAGTCTTGACTTTTGTATTTTCACAAAGATCTATCACACCGAGACTACTGTTTCTGTCTGACTTTCACAAAACTTGGACAGGTTGGATTTGATGGTTTTGATGATTTTGATGATTTGTATAGGTAGGTTCTTGATGCCTGTAGAAGTTGATGCCCAGGCCATCTAAGGAGTATTGACAAATTTAACTATTGTATTTGTAATTCTAATATTTATTCAGCCATTGTACTGGTACACTTTTTAGAACTCCCCTAACAAAGAGTTCCCTTAAGGGAGATAACTTATTATGATCCAGACAACAAATAATCATACACTACAATTCCTTCCTTTTTCCTAAATGACAAATCATCATTTTCTGTAAACATAAAATGAACAACATCAATAATAACTAAACATTTAAAATATAAACTTTAGAGTTTTTGTTGTTTGGAGTGTCCTATATAAATGTTAATCATTTCGATATCGGAGAGGTCTTTTCCGATTACGCTTAGGTCGTTGATACGAATTGAAAGTTTTAATACTTTCATCACTTGAATCATCATGATCAATATTTGATTGATTTGAAACACTATCAGGATTTATATTCTGATTTGGCACAATAGTATGATAATT